TGCAACCGAAGGTGTTGGATATGAAGCAGATCGAGAGTATGAGGGGCCGGTTACGAGAGTGGGATAGCAGCGTTAACCAGTTGGGTAACTGGATCGAAGGGGTGGGTAAGGATGTGTGGGCAGCGTGAACAAGCGACCGAGCATCATGGCTAGGTCAGCTTGGGCAGGGTCTGACTCTGCCCGCACTCATGAGTCGGCAATGACGTGGAGAGAAGCCATGCTACACAATAGACCTTCGTGTGCGGCCGTAGAACGCAGATGTAATCAAAGCTCAAAAAGAGCTACATCGAACGCACGGAATCCAACATAATAAACAAGATCCCATCCCTCAAATGTAGCAACTCGTGATGCCATTGGTACTCTTACATCAAACGCCCTGCGCTATGCATACCAGATACCAACCCAATTTTTCCCCTCTCCACTTTGTCTTCCTGTCCTTCCATCCTCAATTTTCCCCTTCCTCCATCTCGACACTAACGATCCCAGGGGATGAGCTACGAAAACAACCCCCCAGCCACAACAACACTCCCCGCAAACCACGCGGGCCACCAGACCAGCCAGACCACCACCTGTGTCCACAACCCCCACACATGCCATCCCTCCGCCGCTTGCACGAGCACCTGTACGATATCGCGGCCCCAGTAGAGCGTTGCGGCTCGTATCACCACCACCGGGTTCAATGCCGCTAGTACCACGCTCATAACGGCGCTGAGAGCAAGCCTATTCTTCGTGGTGAAGGGAACAGGTGTGGATGGTGACGAGGCAGCATGCAAGCCGCGCACAAAGGTCAATGGCGAAGCGAAGATGCCGACTAAGAATGAGAGGGAGAAATTCACGGTGGCAAGGGCAGAGAGGAACATGCCGAGGAAGAGGAGAGAGAAGCACTGGATGAGCGTTGATTCTTGGGGTGTTGGGCGTGCGAATCGACGGAGGGTGAAGGCGGCGGCGAAGGGGAGGGTGGCGGTCAGAATGGCGGTGCTGTAGAAGGCTGGCGCGAGGAAGGCTTCGGTCGTGTTGTTGAAGATGTAGAGAGGGAAGAGGCCGAGGAAATGGGAGAGGGTTATGAAGGCTACGGGGAGGAAGAGGGAGCGTTCTGTTACTTCGAGAGCGGCAAGTGGGAGCAGAGATTTGTCTTTATCCTTTTCGACAACTGTGACAGCTGTTTTGTTGGTTTCTTTTTCGGTTGGACCCTTGCTGTCCTTGAGAGGGGCAGTGGTTGCGGGGCTTGGTATGGATGTTGGTCGTCCACTTAGAACCCAGAGCGCGATAGATGTGATAGAAAAACTGACAGCAATGAGCATGGCAGAGGGTAAATATGTTCCTATGCTGACAAAGCGGTTGGCCTGGAGCAAGAGATAGAAGAAGAAACTCTGATGTAGGTGTTCAAGGAGGTTGTTCAGGCTTCGGAACAAGCTTTCCACGGTTCGGCCGAGGGTCATCTCATCGTGCCACCCGTCACCGACCGTTTGGAGAGTGATGGCGTCTACGTGGTATGGGATAAAGGCGCTGTGGGGGCCAGTGGCATGTCCGAGGCCTTGCGAAATCATACCCCTGAGCATGGTTTGGAGACGCTCCTTGTAATTGTCGTCGTGCTTCCACATCCGCTGGAGGGTGCAACCGGCGCCCATCTGGCCGCTGGCAATAGATACAGCTGTGTTGAACAGATCTAGGTTGGGAAGTTGGCCGTTGATACCATCGTATATGATGTGTAACTTTTCGAAGCGATGGCCCCACGGTCCAGCGGGATACTCAATGGCCACAGCACCCTGAAGCGCGCCGCTCTTGATGGATAGAGATTCGATGGTATCTGGCGAATGAGAATCGTGGTACGCGTCCACCCATGCCTGGGGCCCCGAGGTGCTGTCTCCGGAGATGAGGAAGATGATGTCCTTGGACCACAAGCTCCACCTCTTGAAATACCGTGACAGTGTCAATAGCAGGGCAACGCCAGAGTGATTGACTTCTCCGTCTATCGTAAGCCATGACGCAACAAGCACAATGGCTTCGGTAGCGTCCGCGCGGGGGCCTTGGAGCACGGCATACACATTTTGATTCGAGATGTTGCGACCTGACGCAGCGTAAGAGTAGGACTGGGTTGCGGCCTTGAGTTTGTTTGAGCGGAGTATGTGCACCAGCTTCTGATTCCGTCTAGGCTATCTATTAGCACTGTGCCAAAGTTATATGCCATGAATCCATACTCTTCAAGAGGCATGTCCACCAATGATGCGACCTCATGTCGGTATGCCCGGAACACGTTGTGCTCGCTCCCCGTAAAGTACGTGTGCACCTGGCCCGGGAGCAGCGCATTCTCAGAGACGTATGTATTGCGCGAGTACTCGTTCAGCGGCAGCACGAGCAGCCAGGCGACGCCCACGAGGATGCATAGCGCGGACAGGTAGGGAGGAAGCTTCAGGATTCGGGGGTCCTTGCGGAGCGCCAGCAATGTTGCTTGAGGGGATTAGCCATTGCGATTCACTCTGGCGTCTAACAGACTCACAAATCAGCGCCATGGTGCCCTCCTCCAAAGAACTGGTGGTGCCTGGGGGGTTGCGCTGCCCTTTCCTCCACCGCGGCGTTCACGGAGGATCAACGCTAGCGCCTCCGACCCCCGACATCTTTTCGCGACAAACAGGCGCGCCTCACGAAGCCACATCTTTCACCCTCAGCGACACCGAGATGCCGTCGTTTCCCCAGTTCAACCCGCTGCGGTTGCGGTCGTATATCCTACGACTGCCGCTTTGTACGCGTGTATTGCTTGCCGTCATGGTGGCCCTGTACGTGGCCACGATCCCGTTGGCATGGTTAAGGGATTGGGCGGCTCTGGAGCCGGATAAGGTTGGGTTGGCGTCATGTACGTGGATTTCTTTCTATTATCAGTGTGGAAGAGTGGCACTTCGAGGGAATACAAGAGAGTCAACTTTGGGAATCCTGTGGTGCTGAGGAATCTCTCCGGCGCATGCGATTCCCGATCACTCCTCAAACTCCGGCATCACATCAGTCCCGCCTCCTTCGCAGTCAAATGGCCTCAGCAACGCATAACTAACATACTGTTCCTTAGTGTACCGCCTAAACACGTTCCCGCTCATGCATATCGGCTTCTTCCACATGATCTTCAACGTCATCGCCCTCGCCCCTCTCCTGGAGCGTTTCGAGTCCGAGTTTGGTACATTGGTCACCCTGGTGTTATTTACCGGCCGTAAGATGCCTTCATACAAGTGTTAAGGAGTGTATTAATGCGGGAATAGCATTTGGGTTATTACCGGGTGGAATCTACATACTCCTCGAGAAGTTCGTCTTGAGAAGTAACACGGCAGTCATGGGTGCAAGGTGTGTTGGATGCAGTTCTACACAATATGCTTTCTAACATCCATCAGTATTTGGGTCTTCCTTTTACTATCTTCTGAAGCTTTGAAGACGCAGAAGAGCAACCCAAATTTCAGGTATGCCTTCATTCCCCCTATATTGCTCTCCTCTCACACCCGCCAGTATTGGTCCCTACAAGATCCCCACTTGGACAACCCCACTCATCCTGATTGTCCTGACAAGCATCCTCGTCCCGGATGTAAGCTTGATTGGACATCTATGCGGCGCTGGCATTGGATATCTATGGGCTTCAGGCTGGATTAAGTTTCTCGTCCCGCACGAGAAGATCTTAAGGTTCATCGAAAGCAAACTTAACCTCCTCGGACGCCTCCCGCACTACGTCTCTGTAGACCAAAAGACGTACGGGCGATATGGTGTATTGCCAACGACAGCTGTACCATTAGGTACAATGCCAAGAAGTCCAGAACAAGGACAACGACTAGGCCCTTGAGCCATGGTTGCTGTATAGGTGGATCTACAAGCGTTGGATTGCGAACGGAATTGGTGCGACGGGCCCTGCATAAGGCATGGTGTTATGGGATGGATGGATTCATTGCACAAGCATCGCACTCTATTTGGCGTTTTGGGGCGGTGTCGAACTTGCAAGAGGGCGTTGTTGCATTTGCAAAGGCAGGTGTACGATTCAATTGTATCTATATTGTGAGCACTTCATTTTAATGCAGATATGTTGTATTGAGCTGGGTATTTCCTCCTATGGTCGACGGTGATGGATGCATCTTTCGTTGTTGTTATCCTGTCCGTTGGCTGGTTGCTGAAGTTGAGACGGCATCATTCAAATGTCTCGTTCACGATGATGAACACGGGCCCACTTTGCACATGGCTCTCATTGAGGTTGAAGCAGGAGTGTTGGGGAAATGTTGTCTAAACGCATATGCGAAGTTCACTACTCAAGGAGAAACTCCCTCTTGCATGGTGATGAACACTGAACGAGACCGTTTCTGCTGAGGAAATATTGGAACATACTTCCCTCGGCGTCTGATTCGGAATTGAGCAGAAGGATGAGGGCAGTATCGTCTGAACACATACGCAAAGTTCACCACCTGGTGTGTCTCGTGCATTGTGATGAACACCGGAGAAGATTTTTTCTGCTAAAATATTTGAACATGTCGGCTAAGGTCTCTAATTTGGACATGAAGAGGATGAGAGGAATATTGACCAAACACACGTCTGAAGTTCATCACCCAATGAGCGACTCGCCCTTGGGCTTGCGCTGTGATGAACACGAGTGATGGAATATCTACAACTGTGCAGTAGTCAAAGCACTGGCTATGAGACCCATGTGATGACCAACTGCACTGGAACGTGTTATTCAAAGCCTCTTGTTCAGGTACAGACAGAAGAACGAAGGATACCCTGTCTAAACACCGACACCGAGTTTATCATCTAGCGAGGCACTCCTGAGTTGTTTTCCCTCAGCCCCGAGACCAATCGGAGTTCCCAACCCGACCATCCACCACCCCACCTTCCCCCAGAAACCCCTACCACGCGTGCCCCACTTTGCCAACAGCTTCCTCACAAGGTCTTCCCGGTAGCTGTAGCTTCCCATTTACGCTAATGCCATTTTTCATCGCCGATATAATATACTACAATGAGGGTGTAGAGCATCTGAACAAAGAGTCTCGTTGGTGTAGTTGGTTATCACGTGGGTCTCATAGCCAGTGCTTTGACTACTAAACAGTAGTAGATATCCCAAGGCCGCCAGTTCGAGTCTGGCACGGGACAGTTCTTTTTTTTGCTTTTTATCCTTTCCAACCATTTTCATTTTCTGCCTTTTTTTTTCTCGAAAAACGTGGGTGGGACAATTGCTTTTTGATTGTTTGTCCAGCACGTCTGTCTGTACGTGCCTGATGCATGTTTATTCTCATGTTATCGAACTGTATCATATACCCTTTAGAAAAGTAGTTTTGAAGGTGCCTCAAGAAACGTCTTGTCCATTTCATGTGTGCATTTTGGTATATTTTACAATTTACAGAGTGGGGTATATAAAGAAAATGGCTTTATTATCCTTTGATGTCCTTAGCCTGCTTATTGACCTTCTTCAGGTACGCCCGAAGTAGAGATTCCGTACTCTCAGGACTGTCCCTCTCCTGGACATCCTTCCAGTGCCGATAAAACTCCAACACTACCTCAACTGCAATCAAAGCAATGATCGCCCACTCAAGCCTCAATCCATGCTTCTCACTCAAGGATTCCCGCAAGACGCTCGCAATTTCTTGCGCAAAGCCAATCTTCTCGTTGAGCACTTTGATGCGCACGCCTACATCTAGCGCTCTCCCAACTTGCTCGTAATACCCCTCCAGGCCCAACTCGTGACGGGAATCCCAGAAAATGTCAGGGAGGGAGTCGGTGAGCTCGGAGTAGAGATTCAGCTGTGCTCGGATAGAGAGAAGCTCACCAGTTTTCCTGAGAATGAAAGATCGGGTGAAGGGCAGCACTTTGCGACCTATTTGTGTGGATTCGCCGTGGGCTAGCATGGTTGGGATTAGGCGGGTTGAATGCTGGTATTCGGAGAGCATGCTTTCTAGGACGGCGAGTTTGGTGCTGCGCGCAAGGCCGGAGGAGAAGGCGATCTTGGCGAGGATGGTGTCGACTTCATGGCGTTGTTCGTCAGTTGATTTCGACTCATTGCGAGCAGGCGTGTCGGAATCAGTAGGCATGTTCTCAGACTCGGCTTTGGTTCCGAGCACTATAGTGTCCCCAATTATCTCACTACTTTCTTGAAAAGGGTCTTCCAGGTATTCGAGGTCTTCCGTTTCCATGCGATCTAGGTGAGGGCTCTCCGCTGCGGGTAGCAAGACTCGGTTTACCAGGTTTAATGCTTCTCGTTCTCGCACATTCCATGTCACCACTGTGCCAGAAGGGAAGATGAAAATATCTCCTTGCTGATTATCCTTGACTTCAGACGGTCGCTCCGTGGTTTGGACATGTATGACCTGTGGATATAGTCCCGTTTGATATGGATCGAGATCATAGCCCTGGGCTTTTACAAGGCGAGCAGCAGTCGAGATGTTGAACTGTTCAGCAGCACAGTAGGCTGTAACAATCTTGGTGTCCACATCCGGGTCTACAAATCGCTTATTGCCTTTTCCCTTGACAAGACTTCGCGAACGCTGCGCTTCCGCGGCGACTCTTCTCAAAGATGATGTCTTCGTAGCACTTTTACGGGTCGCTTTGAGTTCCGTCTCTGGAAGCTCATCTTTTCTGGCGGCATCCGAGGTTGGCTCTTGCTTCTGGGTGAACTCAATCTTCTTGAAAGCTGCCGTCGTGGTTGAAAACTTCCGCACAGTCGAGCTCGGCCATCGCCAGGGGGACCTCGTCGTTGGTATGCGGATAGCCGGAGCAAGGCCCCTCGTTATACAATTCACCGCATTGGGTCGGAGAAAATTCATCGCCAGCCGGTAAAGATTGTGAACATATTGCTTGTTGGATCAGGTTGCGATAAAATCCGCAAGTCGCAAACCATTTGAGATTCGCAGCCACTAAACCTTCATCAAGCGCTCCCGAGGTCTTGGCACGACGACATCATTGGATCGCAAGCGGCCAGAGCATCACTCGTCACTCGTCACTCGAAAGCTTCAACCCGCGCACCTCGACCGGAGCTCCGCAGGCCTCCACCACGCGCATCGCGGCTCATGCGTCCAGCATGGCTGCCGAGTTGGACGACACCGAGTCGAAAGCGCCCGCCCACGACGACCCGCAGCGCCAACCAGGCGCCCGCAATGGCAACGAGAGCACCGAGCAGGACTCTGGGGACGAGGAGGACGACGGCGATGACGTCGAGGAGGAGCCAAAGCTGAAATACACCCGCCTGACGGGCACCTTGGGGCCACTGTATCGCAATGGTGACGCGACGAGCACGTTCATGGTCGCGGGAGACAAGATGGTAGGCGCACGCCTGGGAGCTCTCGGAGCTATCAGACCTCACAGTGTAGAAGCTAACTGGCGCGTAGATTGTAGGCACACATAACGGAAACATCGTGAGTAGCTCTAAAAGCCGTTTGTAAGCTCCTAAGACTTGGTACTAACCCGTACAGCACATCTTGACTGCGCCGTCTTTCCAGCCCCTTCGCAACTACAACGCCCACCCATCCGCCTCAGTCACATGTCTGTCCATATCGCCATTCCCGCCCCCGCTTGCGACGGGTCAAACAAACTCCCCAAACAGATCAGAGCGGGCAGACGCCCCAACTCGACAGCTCACTTCACAAGGCCACGCATCTTCCCCACGCGCACCACGCACGGCTCCAGTGCCAAATACTGTGTCGAACCAAATCTATATTGCATCCTCGTCTATCGATGGCCATGTTTGCGTGTCTTCCTTAGTTGATCCCAAGGATGTGACTTTGCGAAACTTTGCACGGCCTGTCCAGGCAGTAGCATTATCCCCCGACTACAAATCCGATCGATCCTATCTGTCTGGAGGCTTGGCAGGAGAGCTTATTCTGACCACTGGTGGCCAGGCGGGGGTTCGATCAAATGCAAACACCAGCCAAGCATCAGCGACAGCCCAGGGATGGCTTGGGGCGATTGGTTTAGGTGGACACTCCGGAAGAGATGTCATCTTGCATTCAGGAGAGGGAATCATTAGCACCATTAAGTGGTCGTTGTCGGGTAAATACGTTGTTTGGGTCAATGAGCATGGGATTCGTATCATGCGGACCAATCTGCACTTAGACAGTGCAGATTCAGAGTTCGCATGGAAAAGGATAGGCTTCATCGACAAACCAAACCGTCGTGCGTGGCAAGAGATGGCGGGTGTTTGGAAAGCCAGGGTGGAATGGGTTGACGATAATTGTCTGGAATCCGATGACGATGCCATCATCAGTATGAATGGTAGTCATGCAGCCGAGAAGAATGATGCCACACTTCCCCACATGCGGAAAGACGAGCCAACACCCCACAAGCGAAAGCCACTCCACCGACGCAACACTAAGAATCTAACGGAGAAACTGGTAGTTGGGTGGGGTGATGCAGCATGGGTCGTGCATGTGAATCCTGGTGGAACTGGAGTCGGCAGAGATGTTGGTGAGAGATCAGTTGGTAGCGCAGAGATCATCCATTTGTACGTTCAAGACTGTATCCCCCTTTTACAAGTGCTAATCTTTCAGCCTTCGATTCGACGATTGTATTGTTTCCGGCATCTCGCTTTATACCCCTTCTTTGCTTCTTGTACTTGCATATCGAACTCGCGATGACGACGACAATCCCATCAACGAGGCCGAGACAACTCCACGGCGAGGAATGAGCCGACGTACGAATGGGTTGTCGCCCGAATTAAAGCTGATCGATGCTGCGACATCTGATGAGGTCGAAGTGGATTCATTGACCGTTAGCAGGTTCGAAAATCTTTCAGCAGCCGACTACCATCTTAACACGCTTTATGTACCTCATCCTAAAACGATGACACCCGCGCAAAGAAGCGCACTAGAGGCCATAGGAGGAGGGATCTGGGATGCTGGTGTTAGTGCCGCTCGCATCTTTAGCTCCGGCGCTAGCATCGTCAGTGCTCCTGGTAGTGGAGGTGGAGAGGTGAAGGCTGCATCGTCCATATCGTCCACCAATGCTGGAAGTTCCACGGCCCAATTCCCAGGCAGGAAACATTTACAGGTTCATCCCAACGCTGTTACAGCGGGCCTGAAGATATTCATTCAGAGCCCCTATGATTGCGTATTAGCCATAAAGCGAGATCTCACTGATCACTTCAACTGGGAACTAGAGCACGAAAACTACAAAGACGCTTGGGAGCTCCTCGATGACCATCCAGAGATTATTGCCACTGTCGCCCAAATAGCTCCAGAGTCCTCGCCAGCAAGCACACCCGTCAAGAAGCAAGGAAGCCTCCAGGAGTTCTTCGCCGATGATAGCGCATCACAAACCACAATCTCTGCAAATCGAACAAACCACAACTCTGCAGTCGAAAAAGAAAAGAGACGCATAGGTGATCTCTGGGTGCAACAACTCGTGACCGCTGGAAACTGGAAAGAGGCGGGCAAGATTGCTGGTCGTGTACTGGGCACTGCTGCGAGATGGGAGCATTGGGTTTGGAAGTTCGCCCAAGCGAATCGCTTCAACGAGATTGCGAGCTACATTCCCACCAAGCAAATGCAGCCTCCGATTCCCTCCTTGGTGTACGAAGTCGTCCTAGGACATTACATCATCCATGACAGAATACGCTTCAAGCATCTCCTTGAGGACTGGGACCCCGATCTCTTCGATATCAACAGCGTAATTGAAGCTATAAAGAGTAAACTCTCGGCAGGCGATGTAACAGAAGAGTCTATCGAGAAGAACCAGCAAGGTCGGGATTGGCGGATACTGCAAGATGCACTAGCAAAGCTTTATCTTGCTAGCGGTCACCAACGGGACGCACTACGATGCTATATACGGCTTCAAAATGCAGATGCCGCAATGGCACTCATACGGGATTTCCATCTTGTTGAGGCAGTGCGAGACGATATCCCAGGATTTATTCTACTTCGGGTATCTAAAGAGCAAATGGAATCGGCGCCGTTATCCGAGCTAGAGGAGACTTCAACCGATTCTGTGAACGTTCTAGTCGAGGAGGGATGCCGCGGCATCATACCAGCGCATGAAGTGGTTGATCAGTTGCAAGAAAAAGGTCTCACCTTCCAGCCTTTCCTCTTCTTCTATCTAAGATCGCTCTGGAAGCCCGAGACGCATGAGCGCAAGGAAAAGACTGCCAAAGAGCGAGTCGCAGCAGA